CCCACATGCAAAATGGTTCCATTATTTTGAAATCTCCATCGTTCTGGAATACCCCCATCGCACCTTTGTACGTTGATCGTGGTCCAACCAGGATTTGCATACATGAGACACCAATTTAGATTATTTTGAGGCCTGATGGTACCGTCTGGGTATAATGCCCATTCATTCTGAGTAACCTTACTCGGACAGTTTCCCAGCTGTTCCGTAATTCCACCGACTCCCAAGCACTGGCCTTAGTAACTTAAAATGGTGGTCACCTGCGACGTTGTATTCGTGCTAAGAGTAAAAGCTTGCTTAGAAGCATTAACATTGAAATCTTGAGCTAGACTAATCTGCTGGACTAAAATACATATTTTTAATGTATATTGTTATCATAAAATATAAACATAAATTAAGTGACAAATTATATTATAAAGTCATATGGTATTAGAAGTCATGAAAATAAAAGTGTAGATATTATTAAAGTTGTATTTATAATTTGATGAGGGACAGAGTTATAAATATAAACAATAACTTATTCTTAAATCAGCTATATAAAAGGATATGGTCATCAAGAAATAGATCATCTCGTATTTTCTTATCTCGTTATCCCCGTCAGAGAGTCTATAATTAAGAGAATTATATCTTTTTGGAAGAGCACAACCAAGACAATCTTCAAGATCTCAACCTTCTAGATAATCTCCAACGATTGATTTAGGTACTCTTCCGCAAATCTAGTATTTTATTCTTGATGATTTGACATGATTAGATTCTAGTTTATTTTCATATTCATTACAGTTTGGTTCTAACAAGTGACATCATCATCTCGTCATGTTGAACTATTTGATTTTAGAATTTATGAAATTAAAACTTTTGTATAAAATTTCAGTATAATTTTTATTAATTATAATAGTATAATTTGGGGGGTTTCTCTTTATATGATTGATATACCAATCGATAAATTGCAATGGATTATACGTTACATTTTTTATGCGACAAATTTCATTTGCCCGTTTAGAAGTAAATGCGATGAATCCCATAATTGGGATTCACGCCTGAGAATATTATGAAGCAATATGCTGCATTGGATTAGTTAATTAATTTTAGTTTTATAATCCATTAATCTTATTTTGAAGAGAATCACTTTCCATTGAATATTTTATTTGTGATTGGTTATCGAATCAGATATCATTTTAAGGTGAATATTTTATCTATAGATGAAATATTACTGGAGTATATGATATCTAGAGATGAGGTTTAAGGTTATTCAAATTTAATATTATTTTGGTTATTTTTTACTTAAATGATAAAATTAAGAGAATTTGATAATATTTATATGATTTTATTTATATTGTTAATGTAATATATGTATATATTCAATTCAATTTGATCAAAATTTAAGTTTTGATTTTTTGTTATTAGAATATATATATTGAGACAAATTAATTCATATTTTGGCTAGGTCTAATATTTTGGTAAATTAGTTGAAACAAAATGCCGCCAAAATGACCTCTTTTGTGTAGACTGATTTATTCGAAATATCAAAATGATTTTGTGTTTATTATAATTCATGCGTTTATTAATTGGCCTAAATGAAAGTTAATATTTGGTCGGATTTCAAGCGACACCTGTGACAATTATAAGGTATTTTATGTGAGCATTACACTAGTCCAAAGATTAGTCTATTGTTCGACATAGCTTATTATCAATGTCTGATTACTACAACAAGAGTACCGTTTACTGTTAATATTATTGTCCAAAGACTTGATATTGATGTAGTGTTTGGTATCTTGTGATGGAAATTAGTTGTTATTTTGAATTTATTCGTTTACTTAAGAATATTAATGTGAGCTTCAGATTTATTTCATTCTATATTCAACTAATTATTTATTTATTGCTATCACAATATATGCTATTATAAATTTCATGCTCATGCTTTGGAAAATGAATCTCAAGGAATGAAAAGATGCACTTACATAAGGTTTTGGTTGTATGAACATAGACTTTGCTCTAAGGAAATAACAATTTGCCCATCTCATGGGGATAACATCCTTAATTGGTATAAGGATTTTGAGAGGTGAAATTTGTTCAAATTGAATGAGTCTAATGGTCATGAAGCAACAACATTTTTGAAGTATTTAGGGGCAAAAAATCTGAAAAGATTACTTAGGCCAATGGTTTCCTTGACGAAATTGAGAAATGTTTTCCTAAAAACAATAAGGTTTACACGACATCATTTTTTTACTTCTTTGATGTAAAGTAAAAAGGTCAAGGAAATATTGGGAGTACATTATGGATATGTTTCATATTGCTTCAAAACTTAAGGCACTTAAAATCGAGTTTTTCTGAAGAAATATTTGTTCTTGTGATTTTAGTATCGCTTCTTATAGAGTTTAATCAACTGAAAGGGAGAAATGAACTCTAAATGAGCTCATTTTTCATTGTGTGCAAGAGGAAGAAAGGTTGAAGTATAATAAGTTTGAAAGTACTCATTTGAAAAGTGTATAAAGATAAGGGCAAAAATAAAATCAGAATGTAGTTGTTAAAGGTCCAACTCAAAAGAGACAACATTATGTTATAAATGGGTTGTTCTCTGTTTTAGATAAGTTAGGACATATGAGAAGAAATTAAATTCTAAAACAGTAAGCAACTACTTTGGTTATTCTGAGCGATCCAGGGGTTATAAGTTTTATGATCTCATAATTAGGAATATTTTTAAGATGAAATCTATAACATTATTTTTTAGGATGTTGAGTTTGGAGGGAGAAATAAGGTTTAAGGAATTGCTTTTGAGGGTGAATTGAATTATAACTCAATTCCTATTATCACTTTTGATGATATCTATGTGTTCATACATGTCGTTAATCAAGAAGTGAATCTAGAACTTCAATCAGATAATATTGAATAACTCTCCATTCAATATTAGAAAATGTTACGGAGAACAAACTCAACAACCTTAAAAAACAAGTGTTATTTTGAAGACCCACAAGATGAGAGAAATATTATTTTATATTATTATGTTTCTAAAAGAAATAAGGATGGCAGTGGAATGATAGAAGATGATCTAATCAACTTTCGTCATGTCATAAAAGTTCTGACTCTCAAAAGTGGATTAATGTTATGTAAGAAGAGTATAAGGTTTATACAAGATAATAAAGTTTGAGAACTCGTCTCATTACTCAGAAAGAATGTATTAATTTTGTAGAGACATTCTTGTTTGGTTTCATTGAAAGACTCTTCCAGGATAAGCATGATACTTGTTGCTCATATTTGATTTTGAGTCATATAAGTTGGATTTCAAAATTGCATTTTTCAATGGTAACATTGATGAGAGATGGTTTATACGATGCAATTAGAAAATTGTGTCTAACGATACAAAATTAATGATATGAAAATTAAGGAAATCTATTTATGAATGTAAGTATGACTCCCGTTAATTGTATAACAAATTTCATCAAGTGATTATCTCGTTTAGTTTTGGAATAAATTTGGTTGACTATTGTATATACTACAAGTTTAGTGGGAGTAAGCTAAGTGATACCCCTTATTGCTAAAGGAAACAAGTTTAATCTTGATCGGTGCCTTAAGAATGGTTTTGAAACTAAGGAAATGCAAAAAGGTTCCTTATACTTAATAAATAAATGAAGAGTTTAATGTATACTCAGATTTGTACACATTTAATTGTAGCGTATGATTTTGAGATATTAAGTAGATATTTAAGCAATTTGGGTATGGATCGTTGGATAGCATCCAAATTGATTCATATGATACATTTAAGAACAAAATATTACATGCTCACATATCGGAGGTCTAGTAAGTAAGACATCATCAAGTTTATGGACTCCAACTTATTGGAATATAGATGCAAAATTTTGTCACATGAACTACTAATTATGGATTGATAAGAAATGTCACTTGAGTTATTTTGTGACAATAAAGTTGCAATCCTTTATTCCATATACAACAAAAACATCTTAAAATCTAAGCATATAGACATTATGTTTCTGATTGTTAAAGAAAAATACAAAGTGTTATGTGTTTATAGAGCATATTGGTACAAACTCATTATTGCGTGCTTATTAAGAAACTGTCACCCTAGGTCTTTCATGAGCACACTACTCATGTGGGTGTAATATCATTTAAGAATATTCAGTTTTAGTGGGAGCTTGTAATTTAAATGTTCGTTGGTTATAAACACAATTTCAGTAACTTCAATTTAAGGATATTTATTTTAAGGTTATTTTCTGCAGAAATAAAGTTTGTTTTGGTTTATCCACACTATGGTTTTGGTAAAAATTTGATCTCACTAAAGAGGACCGGTTGTAAAAAGACATGTATGGTTCACATTACATGTAATTTTCATGCTACGCTCCATGATTGGTCTATGTCATTTGAATGTGTTTGTATACGTGACCATTGATGGGTCTAGTCATGATTGATATGACAAAAGTCGCTTTGATCCTATATGGATATAGTTGATGGACGAGACTGTTATAGAATACTTATTGCATGATAACAATTTCAAGCTCATAAGGTTATACATTTATCAGGAAATATATGTTGTCCAAGTGGGAGATTATTGGATTAAAATTCATAATTATGAGCACATATTTTTAATGTATATTGTTATCATAAAATATGACATAAATTGACCAATTATTTTATAAAGTCATAAGGTATTAGAAGTTTCATGGAAATAAAAGTGTAGATATTATTAAAGTTGTATTTATATTTTGATGAGGGGCAGAGTTATAAATACAGACAATAATTGATTCTTAAATTAGTTATATAAAGGGGTTATGGTTCCCAAGAACTAAATCACCTCGTATTTTCTCTTACGCCCGTCAGACAGTTTATACTTAAGAGAACTCTATCTTCTTGGAAGATCACAACCAAGACAATCTTAAAGATCTCAACATTCTAGATAATATCCAACAATAAATTCATATACGTTTCTACAAATCTAGTATTTTATTCTTAATGGTTTAATATAATTATATCTTAGTTTGTTTTCATATTTATTATAGTTTAGTTCTAAGCCCCGGAGTAAATTGAAATCCCGTCAAGACCTGCCCGGATTTAATATTTCTTATAGTTCCACCACTGAGGATTTCCCATTTGGTGGCATCAGAGTCAGCCTTGTCACAATCATAGATTATCACATCGGCTTGGGAGAAGTATCCAAAAGTGGTTAAGCATTTTCCGTTGCATCGAATTGTATTATCGTCTGATTCCGATATCCACAATTGATTGGTTGAATGTCCACATGTCCACAAGACTACTGGGTTTCCATCCTTGTAGTTTCCCTTGTATAAGTCGGCACACAGACCATTTTGTCGGATGATGTTCGTGCTTGGATCTGTAGAAGCCATAGAGTTTTGACTAGTGGCAGCCATAATATTGAACATGGCTGTCGGTGGTTGGGCAATGGACATGGAACATCCACATAACACTTCCACTGCTAACACAACCCACACATACATTGTTTGCTGATACAACGAAACCCTAAACCATCATTAATTAAAAATCTTACTCTTAATTCAACTTAATTGGTTTTCTTTTATCTACACGAGATGGCAAAAAATTCTATCTCTACATGAATTTTAATGGTTCTAAGATAGATGTGCCATTTTAATAAATTTGCTAAACATTGGCTTTTATTTTAGAGAATGTCCATTGGGTATTAAAAGAAGATAGGTTTTGCGAAACTCATTAAATGATTTCAATAGTTATTGATATGAGTTGTTCAAGAATGAGCATTTGCATTAAATGTCAAATTTCTTATTGATGATTTTTCATCTGAAATCTTAGATGAAAAGATGTAAAGGTTCAATAAAAATTCTTTTGTTTGATATTTTATGACTATTTGAATTCATCAAATGATATTAGTGATAAAAAGGAACTTATTTTCTCAAAGGTTATGAGTTCATCTATGAGATGTACGTACGTTTCAATTGATTAAGAAGACTTTAAACATATACTACTTGTAATCACCCTAAACTATTTATATATATTTCATGATTCTTTGATTTTTAATTAGCTATAATTGTTTTAAGGCTTAATAGTCACGGTTGCTCTTGTAGTAAACTCAATTTATCAATTTGGCCTCTATCATTTTTTTTACATTAATTTAGCCCTCGAAGTTGTTTAGGATATTCATCTTAGCCATTGAAGTTCGTTGACCATTTTAACTGAAAGTATTGTGAGGCTTTTGCGTCTTTGCATTATGTAGTTATATTAAAATATTTTATTAAACACAATGATTATAACAAATTCTCAAAAATTTATTATTTATTTCGGTGAGATTAAGGGGTTATGTTAAATTTTTGGAGATTTTTTCTAACTGTTGTATTTAGTAAGTATTTTATTTTGTATTTATTTAATACATGTCACATCATCATCAAATCACATTTATAATATTGACTTATTTGAAAATAATTGGTGTTGATAAACGCAAAAAACTAAAAACGGACTTCGATTGCTAAGATAAACACCCTAAATAACTTTGAGGACTAAAAAAGAGAATGACAAAATTGATAAATTGAGTTTACTACATGGATAATATTGACCCTTAAGCCTTATTTTAATTAACTTGTTTTCTAATTTCATATGATATGGTAAAAGATTTGATCTCTACATTAATTTAATTGGTGTCTAAATAAATGTGCCATTTTAATAAATTTACTAAACATTGGTTTTCATTTAAAAGAAAGCAAAGAAAGGTTGTTATACAATGATATTTTAATAGTGGCAATGGCACATTTATAATGCATGACTTCACTATCATTTCTCACCACTTCTACCACTATAACTGTTCTCGTTAGAAGTGTATAAAAACATTGATCCGAATAACTAAATTCAAAATTTTAAATATTTATTTTAAATTTTAAATAATTAAAATCAAATATTTAAAAAATTTAAATAATCAAATTAAATATGAATCATAATATTTTAATTTAAATTATTCAAAAATTTAAAAAAATAATGGATATTTGACTATTTTAGATAGTGAAAATAATAATAATATATAACTGAGGCTTTCAAATATGATGATGATGCGAAGAAAATGATAATAACATATCATACATTTTTCATACAATTAATAAGTCTTTTGAATATGATGAAAAGATTTTCGAACTAGTAAACTTTTTGAATATGATGAAAAATACTAGAATATCAGTAAATCTTTTAAGTATGATATTAAGATTTTTCAGATAATATACAAGACCTCCAAATACAATATTATTTTAATGATATTAAAATATAGGTGTCATTATAATAAATATTGTAGAACATATTAAGTAGTTTCTGTGGTTAAGGAAAATGTTATTCTTCTTAAAAATTTTAGATTCGAATAATAATGTCTGTAGCATATAATTATATAATTGTTCTCACTAACAGACGTTTCAAATAGTATAATCTAATGTGATGCTGTAAATTATTTTATATGAAAAAAATAACTGTTATAGCTAGCAAGACTGTTAGACAATGATATTTTAATAATGCTGGAATCCTGTCAAAGAGGATCTTAAGGGTGCGTTTGGTTCACGGAATGTAAGATTACCAGTGGGAATAAAAGATTACTAGGGAATAGAATTACTGGGAATGTTGTATTTTGTGTTTGGTTGGTTTAGCAGGAATGTAAGATTATCGTGTTTGGTTAAAAGAATAAAAGATTTTTGGAATGTATATTTGACCAAATTGTCCTTATTATATATTTGTATAATATTACAAATTGTAAAATATTTATATATTTTCTTTAAAAAAATTAAATTCATAATATTTATATAATTTTTTTTACAAAATTAAAAATATAAAAAAGGTTTAATGAAAGGGTAAAATTTTTTTAACCCCTGAACTTCATATAAAATTTTAAGTATAGACTTTTTTTTGTAAATCTAAAATAATTTAAGGATAAATTTGTAATTTAACCTTCGTAGAATTTTTATTATTCAATGACAGAAGAATTATATTTTTGAAAAAAAATAAAAATTTAAGGGCATTTTAGTCCAAAATGCCGGTAATGTTACAATACCTAAGGGAAGGGAGGTAATGACATTCCCGGTAATATACCCAAAAAAATCTACTATTGGTAATAAAATATTGCCGGGAATGAGATTCCCGGCCAACCAAACATGGGAATGTGGAATTCTCATCCCATGAGAATCCCACAATCCTTGAACCAAACACCCCCTAATAATTTGATGGATAGTTCTTTAGAACCACGAAATTGGAAAAAAAGAATATGATGGATTAGTAATTTGTTTCGTAGTTCTGTAGTTCTAGTTTCTCGGTTTAGTTCTACGCAGTTGCTCTCATGTTTGATAATTCGAGATTATGATGAACTGGAAGGAAAAAAAACTTTTATTCGGATTGCTAAACGGCGGTGAGTTACAAGATCCAGCACTTTTTTATTTATTGAGTACATATATATATATATATGCTAGTGCATATATGCTTGAACAGTGAACTACATCTGGCTAAGTGCTTCATCGATAACCTCATCGAGAATGGTGGTAGCAGAATATGATGTCTTTGTCTATTTTTGCAGTATTGCAATAACGGGACGCACAGATGCCACATCGCTGTAAACAAGCTGACCAGAAACAACAGTGACACTTGTTTTAAAGGTTCCAACGGGTCTTGCATCTTGGACGGCTTCACGGAGTTGTCCCCATTTGGTTTCATACGCCTTCATTATTGTTGAAATGTCAAAGTTTGAAAAATTGGTTCAAGTTAAGCATCTAATATTGTAATGTCAAAATTAGGTGCAATAATGTTTGAAAATTAAATGGGTAAATTATAAACTTTAGTCACTAAACTTTAGGGTATTTATAAGATTAGTCCTTAAGTTTCAACTATAAATACCCTAGCTCATTTAGCTTCAAAACCATCTCAAAGCATTCTAGCTTTCTTCCAATACTAGAGAGATTTTAGAGAGTTTCTTGAGCGTTGTTTTCTCCTTTTTATCTAGAGAGAATTATCATTGTTTTCTCCTTGGTAGATCGAGAGAGGTTGTAATTCTTATTTTCTCATAGTGAAATTCTTCTATCGTTGCCCGTGGTTTTTACCCTATATTTTTAGGGGTTTTCCACGTAAATTTTGTGTCTCTTTTATCTTCATTTTTATTTTCTCAAATTATTAGTTGCGATTTTACTCTATCCGATAGTCGTCTTCCGCAACAATTGGTATCAGAGCTAGATTAGAGTGTGTAATATCTGCTTATTGTCTTTGTGGTTGCCACCAAAAGGTGGATCCTCTAACATAAGAAAGTAAGAAGTTATTACTCATTCTTTAAAGGTTCCAGAGAACTATTCACGATAGTGAAATAGTGGGAGTTATCCGTAAACGAAGCAATGGCAACGAAATTTGATATTGAAAAGTTCAATGGGAGAAATTTCTCATTGTGGAAATTGAAGATGAATGCCATCCTGAGGAAAGACGGTTGTCTAGCAGCTATCAGCAAAAGGCCAGTAGATTTCACATACGACAACAAATGGATCGAAATGAACGGAAATGTTATGGCAAACTTTCATCTAGCATTAGCAGATGAAGTATTGTCAAGTATCGAGGAGAAGAAGACAGCTAAGGAGATATGGGATCATCTCACCAAACTGTACGAGGTCACATCGTTGCACAATAAAATTTTCCTTAATAGAAAATTGTACACTCTCCGTATGCCAGAATCTACTTCAGTGACGGAGCACTTAAATACACTGAACACTTTATTTTCTCAGCTTACATCCTTAAGCTGTAAAATAGGAGAACAAGAACATGTTGAACTTCTACTTCAAAGTCTACCGGATTCATATGATCAACTCATCATCAACTTGACAAACAGTAATGTCACCAGTCTAGTCTTTGATGACGTTGCTGCTGTTGTTCTACAAGAAGAAAATTAGAGCAAGAACAAGGAAGACAGACAAGTAAATCTGCAACAAGCAGAAGCGTTGACAATGATGACAACGATGAGAGGGAGATCAACAGAACGTGGCCAAAGCAATAGTCACAAACATGGTAGATCGAAGTCGAGAAGCAATAAGAATTTAAAGTGTTACAACTGTGGAAAGAAATGTCACTTGAAGAAGGATTGTTGGAGTCTAAATAAAAACTCCAATCCACAAGGCAATACCGCAAACACTTCAGATGATGGAGATGCTCTATGTTGTGAAGCGTCAACCACCGTGGAAGGAAGAAAACGATTTGCAGATATATGGTCATTGATTCGGGAGCAACATATCACATGACCTCAAGAAGAGAATGGTTCCATCATTATGAACCTGTCTCAGGAGGATCTGTGTATAGTTGCAATGATCATGCCTTAGAGATTGTTGGCGTGGGAACCATCAAATTGAAGATGTATGATGGAACAATTAAAGTTGTTCGAGATGTGCGGCACGTGAAAGGTCTGAAGAAAAATTTATTATCCTACGGATTGTTGGATAATAATGCTAGCAAGATTGAAACACGGAAAGGAATCATGAAGGTGTTCCGTGGAGCGCTTGTGGTGCTAAAAGGCGAAAAGATAGCAGCAAACTTGTACATGCTGAAGGGAGAGACTTTGCTAGAAGTAGAAGCCTCTGTTGCCTCATGTAGTTCAGATTCGGCAATGCTATGGCATCAGAAACTTGGACACATGTCAGAACAAGGAATGAAAGTCCTTGTGGAGCAAAAGCTACTTCCAGACTTAACAAAGGTATCACTTTCTTTGTGTGAGCATTGCATAACAAGTAAGCAGCACCGGTTGAAATTCAACACATCAAATTCTAGAGGCAAAAGTGTTCTAGAATTGGTTCACTCTGACATATGGCAAGCACCAGTAACGTCCCTAGGTGGAGCAAAATATTTTGTCTCATTTATTGATGACTACTCCAGGAGATGTTGGGTGCACCCTATTAAGAAGAAGTCAGACGTGTTTTCAACTTTCAAAAACTTCAAAGCGCGGGTGGAACTTGATTCTGGAAATAAGATCAAATGTTTCAGAACAGATAATGGAGGAGAATACACAAGCGAAGAATTTGATGACTTTTGCAGGAAAGAATGCATCAAAAGACAGTTCACAGTGGCAAACACTCCTTAACAAAATGAAGAGGCAGAGCGGATGAACAGAACCTTGTTAGAAAGAACAAGAGCAATGTTGAGGGACGCAGGCCTAGAAAAATCATTCTGGGCAGAAGCAGTCAATACCGCCTGTTATTTGGTGAATCGAGCTACATCAATTGCAATAGAGCTGAAGACACCAATGGAGATGTGGACTGGTAAACCAGTTGATTATTCAAACCTCCATATATTTGGAAGTATAGTGTACGTGATGTACAACGCCCAAGAAATTTCAAAGTTGGATCCAAAATCCAGGAAATGCAAATTCTTGGGGTATGCTGGTGGAGTAAAGGGGTATCGCTTGTGGGATCCCACTGCCCGCAAAGTGATCATTAGTAGAGATGTTATCTTTGTAGAAGATAAACTACAAAGAAAAGGAGACGATGATAGCACTGAAAAGTCAGAGACTACTCAGATACATGTGGAAAAAGAGTTTGAAGAAGGAGATTCTTCTGAAGCAGAACCAGCACATTATGAACAAGAACCAGAGAATTCTGAAGCTCCAACAACTCGTCAATCAGATCGTGTGAGAAGACGTCCCAATTGGCACTCAGATTATGTTATAGAAGGTAATATTGCATATTGCCTTTTAACAGAGGACGGTGAGCCATCAACATACCAGGAGGCAATAAACAGCTCAGATGCTTCACTGTGGATGATGGCGATGCAAGAAGAAATCGAAGCCCTTCATAAAAATAATACATGGGACCTTGTGCCACTACCACAAGGAAGGAAACCAATTGGTAACAAATGGGTTTTCAAAATCAAGCGAAATGGTGACGATCAAGTTGAGAGGTATCGTGCAAGACTGGTGGTCAATGGATATGCTCAAAAAGAAGGTATTGATTTTAATGAAATATTTTCTCTTGTGGTTCGACTGACAACAGTTCGTGTAGTTTTGGCAATGTGTGCTACATTGAACTTACATCTAGAGCAGCTAGATGTTAAAACATCTTTTCTTCATGGAAATCTTGAAGAAGAAATTTATATGCTCCAACCTGAAGGTTTTGAAGAAAAAGAAAAGAAGAACTTGGTTTGTAGGTTGAACAAATCTCTGTACGGTCTAAAGCAAGCGCCGAGGTGTTGGTATAAGAGATTTGATTCTTTCATTATGTGCCTTGGATACAACAGACTTAATGCAGACCCTTGTGCTTATTTCAAGAGGTCTGATGATAACGATTTTGTTATTTTGTTATTGTATGTGGATGACATGTTGGTTGCAGGACCCAACAAAGATCATATTGAAGAATTGAAGGCACAACTGGCTAGGGAATTTGAAATGAAGGACTTGGGATCAGCAAACAAGATTCTAGGGATGCAAATTCACCGAGACAGAAGTAATAGGAAGATTTGGCTTTCACAAAAGAATTACTTGAAGAAGATCTTGTCACGATTCAACATGTAAGATTGTAAGCCAATTTCTACCCATCTTCCTATTAACTTCAAATTATCCTCCAGTATGAGTCCTAACAGTGAAGAAGAGAGGATGGAGATGTCTCGAGTACCGTATGCATCAGCAGTGGGAAGTTTGATGTTCGCTATGATATGCACAAGACCAGACATTGCACAAGCAATGGGAGTGGTTAGTCGGTACATGGCGAATCCAGGCAAAGAGCATTGGAATACAGTAAAGAGGATCCTAAGATACATCAAAGGGACCTCAAATATTGCATTATGTTACGGAGGATCAAACTTACTAATTAATGGGTATGTAGATTCTGACTATGCAGGGGATTTGGATAAAAGCAAATCTACTACAGGATATGTGTTCAAAGTTGCTGGTGGAGCTGTAAGATGGGTTTCAAAATTGCAGTCAGTTGTGGCTACGTCCACAACAGAGGCAGAATATGTAGCAGCTACACAAGCCAGTAAAGAAGAAATTTGGTTGAAGATGCTATTAGAGGAGCTTGGGCACAATCAAGAGTATGTCTCTCTGTTTTGTGACAGTCAAAGCGCCTTGCATCTAGCAAGGAATCCAGCATTTCATTCAAGGACTAAGCACATACGAGTTCAGTACCATTTCATTTGTGAAAAGGTGGAAGAAGGAACGGTAGATATACAGAAGATCCATACCAAAGACAACATAGCAGATTTCATGACGAAGGCGATCAACGCTGATAAATTTACCTGGTGTCGATCCTCTTGTGGCCTGCCAGAGACATAAGCAACATGATGGTACAAGGTAGAAAGAATTGTGTGAAGATATGATTGTTCCAATCAAATCTTCAATTGGGAGATTGTTGAAATGTCAAAGCTTGGAAAATTGGTTCAAGTTAGGCACCTAATATTGCAATGTCAAAATTAGATTGCAATATTATTAGGTGCAACAATGTCAAAATTAGGTGCAATAATGTTTGAAAATTAAATGGGTAAATTATAAATTTTAGTCACTAAACTTTAGGGTATTTATAAGATTAGTCTTTAAGTTTCAACTATAAATACCCTAGCTCATTTAGCTTCAAAACCATCCCAAAGCATTCTAGTTTTCTTCTAATACTAGAGAGATTTTAGAGAGTTTCTTGAGAGTTTGTTTTCTCCTTTTTATCTAGAGAGAATTATCATTGTTTTCTCCTTGGTAGATCGAGAGAGGTTGTAATT